ATTCCTAACAGCCTTGGGTCCCTTCCTTTCCCCCCTCAGCCACTTAAATTAGGGATAGTGAGAGTTGAAATCCAAAACACTTAGAGGTTCAAAGTTTGCCCATGCCTGCTCTGGAGCAATAGAAAACATGCTGGCTCTTTCCTCAACATAACACCCCTTCTAATATCTAAACACGGCTCTCGTGTTCCTTCTTAACCATCTCGTCTCTTAATACCCCCAGTTCCTTAAGCCACTTTTCAGAGCAGCAGTTCTCAACATTCCTAATGCTACGACAACTTAATACAGTTCCTCATGTTGGGGTGACCCCCGACCATAAAATTATTTTTGTTGCTACTTTCCTAACTATAATTTTGCTACTATTATGAATTGTAATGTAAATATCTGATAAGCAGGATATATTTTCATTCAGTGGACCAAATTTGGCACAGATACCCAATGCGCCCAAATTTGAATACTGGTGTGGTTGGGGGAGGATTGATTTTGTCAATTGGGAGTTGTAGTTGCTGGGATTTATAGTTCACCAACAATGAAAGAACATTCTGAACCCCACCAATGATAGAATTGGGCCAAACTTCCCACACAGAACTCCCATGACCAACAGAAAATATTGGAAGGGTTTGGTGGGCATTGACCTTGAGTTTTGGAGTTGTAGTTCACCTATCCAGAGAGCACTGTGGACTCAAACAATGAAGGATCTGGTCTAAACTTGGCACAAATACTCAATATGCCCATATGTGAATACTGGTGAAGTTTGAGGGAAATTTACCTTGATATTTAAGAGTTGTATGCGCTGGGATTTATAGTTCAGCTACAATCAAAGATCATGAACCCCACCAATGATAGAATTGGGCCAAACTTCCCACACAGAACTCCCATGACCAACAGAAAATATTGGAAGGCTTTGGCAGGCAGTGAGTTTTGGAGTTGTGGTTCACCTTCACCCAGGGAGCACTGTGGACTCAAACAATGATGGATCTGGACCAAACTTGGCACAAATACTCAATATGTCCAGAGTTTGGGGAAAATAGACCTTGACATAAGGACATAAGCATTCTGAATCCCACCAATGATCGAATTGGGCCAGATTTCCCACACAGAGCCCCCATGACCAACAGAAAATACTAATGGTCTTTGACGACTCCTTTGACACCCCCTCGTGACCCTCTAGGGGTCCCAGCCCCAAGGTTGAGAAATGCTGTCTCAAAGGGATTCCTCATTTCCTCATCTCTGGACCCCTTCCATCTTGTCCATCTCCCTCTTGATATTGTGGTGCCCAGAACTTGAAACAGGATTATTCCAGGAGAGGTCCGAACAAGCAGACTAGATGCTACTATGATTTCCCTGGAACTATACTCCTATCGATGCCACCTAGAATGCCGCTGGCTTTCTTGGCTGTTGACCTGTGTTTAACTTTGCTTTGCTAACACTCCTACATCCCTTTTGCATGGACTATTTTCAAGCCAGTGTCATTCCTCCTATTTGTGGGCATTTCATTTTTTTTCCTGACTAAGTGTACGCTTCTTGTTGTGTTAATTTTGGGACCAGCACTCTAATCTGTTAAAGGTGACCCCCATGAAGAGAGCCCTAATGGTCTTCCATCTCAGTTTTGGGGAGGGGATTGAGAGACCGGGACAGAAGGCAATGGGTTTAAATTCCAGGAAAAGAGATTCCACCTAAACATTAGGAAGAACTTCCTGACAATAAGAACGTTTTGAGAGAGGAATATGCTGGCCGGGAGTCTGCTGGAGTCTCCTTTGGAAACAAAGGTTAGATGGCTATCTGCCAGGAGGGCTTGGATTGTGCCTTCCTGCCTTGCAGAATGGCATTGAGCTGGATAGCCCTTGGGTGCCCATTCAGAGTCCAGTGGAGTCTCCTTCTGTGGAGGTTTTTAAAGCTGGATGTTCATCTTTTGGGAGCGCTTTCATTGGGGTTAGACTGGACAGCGCTTGGGGTCTCTTTCACATCTAGGATTCTTTTACATGAAGAGAAGAACTCAGACCATTAATTCCAAATTTCTCTAAATAGAGCAGTGGTTCTCAAGCTGTGGTCTGTAGACCACCAGTGGTCCGCAAGAACTAAAATATGGTCAGCTGCCTCACCATTACTATACCGTTGAAATGAGAGAAACTGGTTTGGTAAACCCTCTTATAGAGCCGTTTGGTAAACCCTCTTATATGGTTTTCTGGGGGGAGCAGATGGCGACTACTGGATGGCGTATGTTCTGTATCAGAAGCTAGAGCTGATGTGCTCAATCCAATGCAATTTTCTGAATCAGCACCCCAAAATAACCAAACCAAATCTAAAGTTGACCAAAAACTGATTCGTAACCCTTTTGGTACTAATGTCGGAGAGTGGTCCCTGGTCAACGTGGTCCCTGGTAAAAAAAATGTTTGGAACCACTGAAATAGAGGCTGGGTGGCCATCTGTTGGGTGGGTTTTGATTGTGCCTCCATGTCTAGCAGAAGGGAGTTAGACTGGGTGGCCTTTGGGGGTCCCTTCAACCCTAGGGTTCTATGGCCATTCTCTGGGGATTTTTATGCAAAGGCTGGATAACTCTCTGTCAGGAGGGGTCTGATTGTGCCTCTCTGTCTGGCAGAAGGGGGTTAGATGTGATGGCCCTTGGGGGGCCCCTTCCGACTCTAAGGTTCTGTGATACTTCTCTGGAGATTGCGAAGCAAAGGCTGGATGGTCATCTGTCGGGAATGGTTTGACTGTGTTTTGCTGCAGGGCAGCAGTTTGGACTGGATGGTCCTTGGGATCTTTTCCACCTCGAGGACTCAATTATCCTTTTCTGGGAATTTTTAAGCAAAGGCTGAATGGCTATCTGTCGGGAGGGGTCTAATTGTGCCTCCCTGCCTGGCAGAACGGGGTTAGACTCAGTGGCCCTTTGGGGATGGGGTCTCTTTTCCAACATGCCCATCTGTCGAGTGAGGCTTGATTGTGTTTTGCTGCCTGGCAGAAGAGGGTTACATAGGATGGCCCTTGGGGTCCTTTCCAACTCTAATGCTGGACGATCCTTCTTTGGGGATTTTAAAGCAAAGTCTTTTTTTCTTTAAGCAATCAGACCCCTCTGTCGGGAGGGGTCTGATTGTTCATCCTTGCCTGGCAGAAGGGGGTTAGACTGCGCGGCCCTTTGGGGGGGGTCTCTCTTCCCACATGGCCATCTGTTGGGAGATATTTAATTGTGTTTTGCTGCCTGGCAGAAGGCGGTTACATGGGATGACCCTTGGGGTCTTTTCCAATTGCAGGGTCTATGAGCCTTCTCTGGGGATTTTTAAGCAAAGGCTGGATGGCCATGGGTCTGGAGGGGTCTGATTGTGCCTCCCTGCCTAACAGAAGGGGGTTAGATGGGGTGGCCCTTTGGGGGGTCTCTCTTCGAACATGGCCATCTGTTGGGAGGGATCTGATTGTGCCTCCCAGTCTAGCAGAAGGGGGTTAGACGGGGTGGCCCTTTGGAGGTCTCTCTTCCAACATGGCCATCTATTATGAGAGATTTGATTGTGTTTTGCTGGCTGGCAGAAGGGGGTTACATGGGATGGCCTTCCACAAACCGCCCCATCACTTTTTCACCCACGTCCATCATTATTTTTAATTTTAACTACATCTGGCCTACCCATAGATTTTAAAGTGTGTTGTCCTATTGATAATGCTATGTTATTGTTTTATTGTTTTGTTGTTTTTAAATTGCTTGTATTGTTGTTGTTATTGCTTGTATTGTTGTATGATGGGCTCGGCTTCATGTAAGCAGCACCGAGTTCCCTGGGGAGATGGTAGCGGGGTATAAATAAAGTATTATTATTATTATTATTATTATTATGGCTTTTGCAATCCCTTCCAACTCTAAGGTTCTATTATCCTTCTCCGAAGATTGTTAAGCAAAGGCAATCCTACCATCCGGCCATCTGTCGGGAGGGGTCTGATTGTGCCCCCCCTGCCTGGTAGAAAAGGGTTAGACAGGGTGGCCCCTTGGAGGGGGGTCTCTCTTCCAACATGGCCATTTATCGGGAAAGGTTTGATTGTGCCCCCCTGCCTAGCAGAAGAGGATTAGCCGGGGTGGCCCTTGGGGGTCCCTTCCAACTGTAAGTTTCTATGATCCTTTTCTGAAGATTGTTAAGCAAAGGCAAGACGGCCATCTTTCGGGAGGGGTCTGATTGTGCCTCCCTGCCTAACAGAAGGGGGTTAGATGGGGTGGCCCTTTGGGGGGTCTCTCTTCGAACATGGCCATCTGTTGGGAAGGATCTGATTGTGCCTCCCTGTCTAGCAGAAGGGGGTTAGACGGGGTGGCCCTTTGGGGGTCTCTCTTCCAACATGGCCATCTATCATGAGAGATTTGATTGTGTTTTGCTGCCTGGCAGAAGGGGGTTACATGGGATGGCCCTTGCAATCCCTTCCAACTCTGAGGTTCTATTATCCTTCTCCGAAGATTGTTAAGCAAAGGCAATCCTGCCATCCGGCCATCTGTCGGGAGGGGTCTGATTGTGCCCCCCCTGCCTGGTAGAAAAGGGTTAGACAGGGTGGCCCCTTGGAGGGGGTCTCTCTTCCAACATGGCCATCTATCGGGAGAGATTTGATTGTGCCCCCCTGCCTGGTAGAAAAGGGTTAGACAGGGTGGCCCCTTGGGGGGGGGTCTTTCTTCCAACATGGCCATCTATCGGGAAAAGTTTGATTGTGCCCCCCTGCCTAGCAGAAGAGGATTAGCCGAGGTGGCCCTTGGGAGTCCCTTCCAACTGTAAGTTTCAATTATCCTTCTCTGAAGATTGTTAAGCAAAGGCAGGATGGCCATCTTTCGGGAGGGGTCTGATTGTGCCTCCTTGCCTGGCAGAAGGGGGTTTGGACTGGGTGGCCCTTTGGAAGTCTCTCTTCCAACATGACCATCTGTTGGGTGAGGCTTGATTCTGTTTTGCTGTCTAGCAGAAGGGGATTGGAATGGGTGGCCCTTGGGGGTCCCTTCCAAGTGGGATCCGGGGTTCTATGCCAGGGACCCCGAGAGCGTGACTCACATGAATGCGTGGTAGATGAAGGCCCATCCGCGGGGTCTCTCCAGCACGTTGTAGAGGCAGTTCTGGAGGCGGCGGTAGCGCTTGTGCGAGGCGGAGGAGCGAGCGGCAGAGCCCCCCGGAGGGACCGGCAAAGGGGTGCCCAGGAGACCCAGGCGCCGCGGGCTGGTGCCGGCCGTTGGGGGCGCCGAGGAGGAGGAGGTGGCAGCGGCCGGGGGCCCCTCTCCGCTCTCGGTCTGAACGGCGGTGAGGGCCACGAACTCTCCACGGGGCTGGGCTTCCCCGGAGAGAGGAGCCGAAGAGCCTCCCGACGCTCCAGCCATGGCGCTTGGGGCAGAAGTCTCTCAAGGCATCGGAGAAGGAGGAGGAGAAGCGCCTCAACCCGGTGGCATGGCCCTTCCGACGGCTCCGCGTCGCCTTCCACTTCTCCTCGGCAGCCTCCTCTTCCTCCTTCGGCTCTCCCAGGTCTCCACAACTTCAGTCGCTCGCTTTTCCCCAAAAGGCGCTCCAAGGCGCACGGCAAGACGAAGCTCTCCAAAGCGCGACCTTCGCTTGCTTGTGCGCCCCCCTCCGATCCAGCCTTCAAGGCATCCGGGGAAAGTTGGGGGTCCTTCACGCGAGAGAGGAGGCCCCCAAGAGTTGGGCGTTTGCTTCCGAGGCCCCTGGGTTCAGGGCTTCTCCGCCTCTCCGCCCAAGTTAAGAAGAGTCCCTGGTTGCGCACCCGCCTCGCGCCGGAAGGGTTTGGGGAAAGGAGGAGAAGGAGACTTCGCTGCTGTTGCTGCTGCTGCTGCTTCTGTGGCCGGACTCTCTTCCTCCTCCTTCTCCCTCTCCATCCTCTAGGGTCTCTCCACCTGCCTTTTGCTGCTTTCCAAGCTCACATGGCATCTCCACCCTCCCAGCTCCCTCCTTCCCTCCTCTTCTCCGCTCTCTCCTTCTCGCTCTGCTCCCCGCCTTGCTCCTCGGTCTCTCCCCGCCTCCCAGTGGTTTCCTGGATCATTTAAAGAGTCCCAACATCTTCGAGTTAAGGCTATGGGAAGGTCACTTTCTATTGAGCACTGGAAGGAACGCCAGGATGACATCTTGAGAGTAAGTGGTCCAGATGTGGAAAAATTGGCTCCTATATACTTATGTGGTGGGAATGAGACAGAGTACAAAAATGTATAATAATGTAAAGCAGTGGTTCTCAACCTTTCTAATGCCGTGACCCCGTAATACAGTTCCTCATGTTGTGGTGACCCCCAATTATAAAAAATATTGTTGTTGCTACTTCAGAACTGTAATTTTGCTACTATTATTAATTGTAATATAAATATCTGATATGCAGGATGTATTCTCATTCACTGGACCAAATTTGGCACAAATACTCAATATGCCTAAATTTGGGGTTGGGGAGGTGAATTGATTTTGATATTTGGGAGTTATAGTTACTGGGATTTATAGTTCGCCTACAATCAAAGAGCATTCTTAGCTCCACCAACAATAGAATTGAACCAATCTTGGCACACAAACCTCCAATGACCAAGAGAAATATATTGGAAGGGTTTGGTGGGCACTGACCTTGAGTTTGGGAGTTGTAGTTCACGTATATCCAGAGAGCACTGTGGACTCAAACAATAATAGATCTGGGCCAAACTTGGCATGAATACTCAATATGCCCAAATGTGAACACTAGTGGAGCTTGGGGAAAATAGGCCTTCACATTTGGGAGTTGTAGTTGCTGGGATTTATAGTTCACCTACAATCAAAGAGAGGAGATTCCATCTGAACATTAGGAAGAACTTCCTGACTGTGAGAGCAGTTCAGCAGTGGAACTCTCTGCCCCGGAGTGTGGTGGAGGCTCCTTCTTTGGAAGCTTTTAAGCAGAGGCTGGATGGCCATCTGTCAGGGGTGATTTGAATGCAACATTCCTGCTTCTTGGCAGGGGGTTGGACTGGATGGCCCATGAGGTCTCTTCCAACTCTTTGATTCTATGATTCTATGATTCTATGATTCTGAACTCCACCAATGATAGAATTGGGCCAAACTTCCCACACAGAACCCCCATGACCAACAGAAAATACTGTGGTTTTTGATAGTCTTTGGGGACCCCTCTGACACCCCCTTGTGACCCCCCCAGGGGTCCCGACCCCCAGGTTGAGAAACACTGATGTAAAGAAAAAGAAAGAAAGAATTAATAGGGCATACATTGGTTTTGAATACAAAATAATTTTTTCACCCAGAATGAATTATATGAACCGAAAGATGGAGTAGCTATGGGGAGCCCTCTCAGCCCAGTCATAGCCAATGGGATTTTGGCGTGCATCAATAGGAGTCTAGTGTCTAGATCCAGGGAAAGCATTCTCCCCCCCCTCTATTCTGCCTTGGTTAGACCACATTTGGAATATTGTGTCCAATTCTGGGCACCACAATTGAAGAGAGATATTGACAAGCTGGAATGTGTCCAGAGGAGGCGACTAAAATGATCAAGGGTCTGGAGAACAAGCCCTATGAGGAGCGGCTTAAGGAGCTGGGCATGTTTTACTTGAAGAAGAGAAGGCCAAGAGTAGACGGGGGGGGGGGGGGGGGGGGGGGGGGGCTTGGGGGGCTTCAGCCCCCCCCCCCCCGAAATTCTCATGGTGGTCCGCGAGAAGGCCTTACTGGTACATTATTTAAACTGTTATGTTTATTCATATCATGATCTGATCACCATGCTCAATATATCCCATATGCATGGGGGTATTGGGGTAACGATACAAAGGTTTGCTAGGGTAGACCCTCTTTCACTCAGACTCAGCCCCCCCCCGAATCAAACTCAGCCCCCCCCCCCAAATCAAAATCCTGGCTACAGGCCTGGCTCACCTAGGAGCAGGGTTGTTCTTTCTGCTGCCCTGGAGACATAGGACAGAAACAATGGCTTCAAACTACAAGAGAGGAGATTCCATCTGAACATGAGGAAGAACTTCCTGACTGTGAGAGCCGTTCAGCAGTGGAACTCTTTGCCCCGGAGTGTGGTGGAGGCTCCTTCTTTGGAAGCTTTTAAACAGAGGCTGGATGGCAATCTGTCGGGGGTGCTTTGAATGCAATTTTCCTGCTTCTTGGCAGGAGGTTGGACTGGATGGCCCATGAGGTCTCTTCCCTCTATGATTCTATGATTCTATTCTACATGGAACACTTTGGAAAAACAAGCCCTGGAAACAGCAACAAAAAAGCCCACTATATGGTTCAGATATGTGGACGACACTTTCACCATTTGGAGTCATGGAGGAGAAGAACTAAACAGGTTCCTGGACCATCTTAACAGCATCCACCCAAACATCCAATTCACTATGGAAAAAGAAAATGAAGGCAAACTGCCATTTCTAGATGTTCTAGTCATCCTCAAACCAGATCAACAGTTGGTCACACAGTTTACAGAAAACTTACACACAGAGATAGATACCTACATAAAACTCCAACCATTGCCCAAGTCAAAAAAGAAGCATCATTAAAGCCCTGGCAGACCGTGCAAAAAGAATCTGCGAACCCCACCTCCTGCAAGTCTAATTGAACCACCTCAACTGGGCTTTACAGGCCAATGGATACTCTACCTCAGACATCAGAAGAGCTGCAAGACCGGGAACAAGCCATGAGAGTCAAGACAAAGATCCACCCAGAGGAAAGGTGTTCTTGCCATACATCAAGGGAACCACTGACCACATAGGGAAGCTGATGAAGAAACACTACACACAATCTACAAACCCACTAAGAAAATCCAACCAATGCTACATTCAACAAAGGAAGTAGCAGGAGTCTACCGTATACCATGTAGCTGCAGGAGTCTACCATATGCCATGCAGCTGAGGACAAGTCTACATAGGGATCAAGAAATGCAGCATTGCCCAAACACGAATCAAGAAACATGAAAGGCACTGCAGACTACTTCAACCAGAGAAGTCAGCCATAGCAGAACAACTGGTGAACCAACCTGGACACAGCATATAATTTGAGAACACAGAAATACTTGACTGGTCTAACAACCACCATGTTAGGCTACACAGAGAAGCCATTGAAATCCATAAGCATGGGGACCATTTCAACAGAAAGGAGGAAACCATGAAAATGAACAAAATCTGGCTATCAGTACTAAAAAAAAAAACCTCTAAAATTATAACAGTAAATAAAAAAACTCAAACACAGGGGAACTCCAGACAAGAAACAATTAGGAACACCTAATCAGCTTTCAACAAAGGAATTTCCCAGGCAGTAACAAGCCACACCTAAAACCTGTCAGGCCATCAAATGCTAATCAAGGTGGCCAGTTGAAATATTAACACCTACCTCCAACAGACAAGAGTTGTTTCTCCCACTCTGGACCTTCCACAGATATAAAAACCCAATTTTCCTGGTTTCCAACAAACCACATAACCTCTGAGGATGCCTGTCACAGATGCAGGTGAAATGTCAGGAGAGAATGCATCTTGAATATGGCCATACAGCCCAAAAAACCCTACAACAACCCAGTTTCACCCAGAAAGTAGACAAGAATGAAAACATCAAGGATTGGAGGGGGGGGGGTTATAAAATACATAATAGTTGCCACCCAAGCAACTGTGGCCTTGGGTTAGAAAGACCATAGAAAGTGGGAAGTTTAAACATGGTACAGATACCTAGCAGACTTTATGCTCCAGGACTACATCCTTGAAAGAAGAACCACATATACATCAGGGCGAATCAAGAAGAATTGGGTTCTGAAATAGGAAAGATTGATAGAAAAAGTCAAAGGAAAAGAGAAATATAAAGAATGAACCATTCTCTTTCTATAATTGTTCACTGTCTTTGCGGCCCGAAAGACAGTTGCATCTGTCAAGTAGGAAATTTAGGTACCGCTTATGCGGCGAGGCTAATTTAACTAATTTACGATGCCATAAAACTCTCCAGCAGCATGCAAAGGAACGAGAAAGTACTCCATCAGTGTCACAAGTGGATGGTGAAGCAACAGGTCCTCCGGTGGCTGGAATTTGGAGCATACCTTTATGAAGCCGGAAAGTTAAATAGCCTCTGTTTGTCTGTCTATATACATTGTGTGTCTATGGCATTGAATGTTTGCCATGTATATGTGCATTGTGACCCGCCCTGAGTCCCCTGTGGGGTAAGAAGGGCAGAAAATAAATGCTGTAAATGAAAAATAAATAATAAATCAATATCCTGTTTAATTGTGCGGTCCTTACTTTGAAAGCTGTTTTTACTTTGCTGTTACTTTGAAAGTGTTTGCAGTTTAATAAACTTTTCAGTGCTTTTATGGTACAACCAGAACCAATTAGGAAATAACATGTATAACCCAAGAACAAAAAAATTGTGCTACATAGTGTCATCGACCATTTAGAAGCGAATTGAGGGTGCAATTATAATGTATAAGAAAAACCACAAACAAGAACTTTGACATTATACTAAATGTCCTCTGACCAGAAGTTGGCCACTGGTAGTGCCTCTGGTGTCGCTGTGTGAAAGTCCTCCATTGTGCATGTGGCAGGGCTCAGGTTGCATTGGAGTCAGTGGTCTGTGGTTTGCTCTTCTCCACACTCACATGTCGCTGACTCCTCTTTGTAGCCCCATTTCTTAAGATTGGTTCTGCATCTCCTGGTGCCAGAGCGCAGTCTGTTCAGTGCCTTCCAGGTCATCCAGTCTTATGTGAGGCCAGGAGGGAGTTTCTCCTCTGGTCTCAGCCACTGATTGCAGTTCTGGGTTTTATCCTGCCACTTTTGCACGCTCACTTGGTGAGGTGTTCATGCAAGTATCTCTGTAGATCTCAGGAAGCTATTTCTTGACTCAGGACATTGGTGTGCTGGCTGATATCCAAAGAAAGGATGGGCCGGAGATGTCAATGCCTTGGTCCTTTCATTATAGCCTGCTACTTCCCGATGGATAGCAGGTGGTACAATACCGGCTAAGCAGTATAATTTATCCAGTGGAATAGGATGAAGTTATCCTATGATTTTGGTGCACGTTTCATTA